TGTTTTTAACAGTTTGGGTTAGTTCTATATTTTGGTTCTCAAGCTCTGAGATTCTTTCTTCTGCTTGGGTAATTCTGCTTTCCATGCTTATCAGTTTGTTAATTATTTCATTCACAGTATTCTTTATTACTGTTATCTCAGTTATCAGCTCCTTCCTAGTTTCTTCTTCTGTCTCAATTCTTTTTAATCTCTCCATTAATGTCTTGATATCTAGGTTTATAGTTTGAGACCAGTCATTCTGGGGGGTCTTCATTGTTTGCATTCCGAAGTCAGTTTTCTCAGTGTCTGTCCTCCTATGGGTCTGGAAGAGACCCATATTCTTCTTTTGGTTTATCTTCATTTGTGTAGATTTTTCTCTCTCTCCCCCTTTCCCTCCCCTTCTTTAGTTCTGTTTTTCAGGGAAGGTGGGGTAGCTTTTGCTTCGCTTGTGCAATCTCCTGTTCTTCCTTATGAGGGTTCTCTGGCTTTGTTCACTTTTGAGGTTGGAGTCTGGGCTGTGGGTGTACTTTTTGTAGTTTTGAAGTCTAATTGAGGGGGAACCTGTGATTCTGAATCTATATGCTGATTCCAGCATCCACCAACCAGTGTATGAGCCTACTGGAACCTATTTCCCACTGTCTTACAATCTGTCTGTGCAGCGGTATTTAGGTTTTGTCCCTGGAACAAAAGGAGGTACAAAAGAGGAAGATAATGGAGGAAGAGGGGGTCAACAGGAAGTTAGAAAGAGAGAAGAGTGAGAGGGAAAACAGACATACATACCAACTAACAAGTGAAGAAGAGACACAAGGACAGAGAGAAGTGAAAAAAACACACAAGCAAAATTCCCTAAAGAATACTGGTAGCTACACAAAGACAGACCAATAAAATCATGACTTTTGATGTGGTTTGCCTAGCACAAGCAGATAGTATAAGTCAAAAAGCAAGCAAAAGTAAGCAAAACAAACAGTCAAAATGATAAAATCAAAAGTCACAATAAGAAATCAGACTAGCTCTGGAATCTTTCCTGAGTGCCTAAAGTCTCTTCAGCTCTGATTTCCAGCCTCTCCCCTTTGTTTTCATTGCAGACAGCTAGATTTACTTGCAGCTTGGGTTTTCTTTTAGCCTGCTGCCTGGGAGGTCTGTGACGCTTAGTTGCCTTTGTCTGATTTAGCATAGGGGAGGAGCTGTCTCCTGTTTAGTGACATTACCTTAGGAACTGAGGCGGATGCTGCTGATAGGTGGGCAGGGCAATGCAAATCTCTGCCTGGAGAATGGCCAAGGTGGCAGTTTCTCTTTCACAAATATTTTCTCTCCACTCGTCTGGGTCCCTGGGCGATCCACTATGATGGACTGTAGTGGCATGGGAGGCACCGGGGATCAGCTGCACAGCTGGGAGCTGGATCCAGGGTGCCACCAGCAGGCTGGGGTGGAGGAGACGGTCAGGAGTTCCCTCCTCTGGAGCTGAGCGCCTCCGATGAGCACCTCCTTAAGATATGCTGTTCCCTTACACAAGCATGGGGTTGCATGCTGAGTACCTCAGCTAGGGTGGGCCCAGAGCTCCAGAGCTCTAAAGCTCCAAAGGGCAGGCGGTGAGCGGCGAGAGTGGCCCTGGGCTGCTCACAGGGTACTTCAGCCAGAAATGGAATCGGTATCTCTGAGGGGCAGACGCCCAGAACCTCCCTGGGTGACCAGCGGCTTGGTGCTGGGTGCTGGGCGAGACGATGTAGCCAGGGAGGGAGCCGAGACCCGAGACTCCCACGCAGGCAAGAGTCACGTATAGTGGAGCAGCAGCAGCCGGGAGCCGCAATATTCGGCCCTGCATGGAACCGAGGGTCCCTGGGCTTCGGACCAGTGCAGCTGGTGGTGGGCAGGGGGGTGGAGGAAGGAAAGTAAGAGTCTTTTTTGGAACTTACAGTCAGAGAATCTCACAATTCCTTCTATGCCATCGCCATCTTACCAGAACTCATGAATTTCATTTTTTAAGTTTAAGAGAAAAATCATTCTTTTGACTCTGAATAATTACGTTTTTGAAGATAAAGAAGAATTTCTAATGCTGGGGCACTTTGTTGTTGTTGTTGCAATTCCAGTCTGTTTCTGTAATGATTCTTTGTTTATTTAAGTGACTTTTCATTGCAAAGGAATTGCCATTTTGGGTTATGTAAAAAATGCTGTGGAACTAGCATTTATAATCTACCAAAAATTAAAATTTGGGTTCTTTGCTGACCTTCATAAATGCAAGGTGCTTACTGTAACTGCCTCTCGCAAACAAGAGAAAGAAAAAAATCTTTATTTCTAAATCATTGTATTTCCTCAAAAATAGTCCAGCTAAGTTAAATATATAGGAATTGGTTCCCCCCCACCAAATTATTTTGTTATTTGCCAAAAGCTACTTGCAGAAACTTACCAAATACTCTAACACAATCAGCCAGAGAAGACAGTATTTCCTTTTTTTTTTTTAAGCCAGAGACTATGATAGAAATTATAGATATTTCTAAAATTCTTGTCAATGATAACACATATACAAGGTTGCCTCACACACACACAATCAGTTTCTTCTCATTAGTTCACTTCAAAGCTGTCTATAGCATTGGGAGTAGGGCAAGGAAAAACAAGTATTCTTTTTTTTTTCTTTCAAATTTTTTTTTTGAGTTGGAGTCTCACTCTGTCACCCAGACTGGAGTGCAGTGCCCGCTCCTGGCCACCGCAGCCTCGACCTGCTGGACTCCAGTGATGCTTCCGCCTCAGCCTTCTGAGTAGCCAGAATTACAGGCATGCACTACCACGCCCAGCTGGGTTTTTTTTTTATTTATTGTAGAGATGAGGTCTCGCTGCCCAGGTGGGTCTCGAACCCGCGGACTCAGGCAATCTACTCACCTCAGCCTCCCAAAGGCACGGGATTACGGGCTGAGCCACCGAGCCCGGCTTCTTTCAATTTTTTATTTTGAAGATGTGGGGTACAGTTCAGGATTAAGTATACAAATGTTCATTATGCAGGTAACCTTGTTGATGAGTTGTGCCCCACCCTCACCCCCCAGCAGTTTCCAACTACTGCCAATCCCTTTCTTTTTTTTTGAGTTGGAGTCTCACTCTGTCACCCAGACTAGAGTGCAGTAGCTGCTCCCGGCCACCGCAGCCTCGACCTGCTGGGCTCCGGCAATCTTTCTGCCTCAGCCTTCCAAGTAGCCGGAACTACAGGTGCGCACTTCCATGCCCAGCTGATTTTTGATTTATTGTAGAGATGAGGTCTTGCCAAGTTGCCCAGGTGGGTCTCGAACCCGCGAGCTCAGGCAGTCCACTCACCTTGGCCTACCAAAGTGCTGGGATTACAGGCTGAGCCACCGAGCCCGGCCCAATCCCTTTCTTATAGTATTATGATAATTGAAACACAAGTATTCTTTGTTCCTTCTTTCCCCAGTTCCTTCAGACTTCCCCAGATACAATATGTAGGTAACTCCTCTTCATTGTTCACAGAAAGGCCCAATCTTATATTAAATACACAAACACACCATATATTTGTTGTGACATATATTGGCAAAAAAACAGAATTAAAAGTGTGCCTGTCCAATAAAAAGACATGACTTGAGTTTCTCCAGTGAGATAAGGGCTGCAGTTTAAAGTAGCATGTTGTTATAAAGGGAGACAGAAAAAATGATATTTTTAGCCTGTGTAATTTAAGAAATCTAGAAATTTGAACTTGGTGATTTATTGTAGTCATTTTTGTCTAATAAAATTTTGTATAGATAACCATAGCAACCATAAACTTAAGAATCTAGCACATAATATTTATTCAATAAGGGATAAATATCATTATTATTCTTGATTGATAGCATTTCTATTAGAAAGTCATCCACAATTCTAATGATACATTCTCCATTTTTATTCATTTTTTCTTTTAAAAAGTTAATTCAGGACTATTAAAATAGTGTCAATGTAGCATTTCCTCTTGTAACTTACTAACCATATTACCTTAGGACACTTTCTCAACTAAAAAATAAAGCTAGGTTTGACTTTACCATTTACAAGATGGAAAAAAATGTTACCTTGTTGACATGTGAACTCTTACAGGTGTAGCCCATACAAGCAATCCTGTTAGCCAGCAATTTGTTGTAGATGAAAATGCCTTTCCAGTACTTATCCAGCTACTAAGAACTCACCCTTCTCCTAACATCAAGGTATATGCAAAGGTTTAAATTTTTTTTGGATATAATAAAAATTAACATAAATATGATTTTAAAGAATAATTTGTATCTTTATGGAAGTTCACAAGCATAAAAAAATTTAACCTTCTAAATAAAATTCTAGAAGCTCTGATCAAAAAAGGCTCCTACAAAATATAACAGTAAATTTTATTAAAACACGATTTCTTCAAATATGATCAGAAAGTCTTATGCCTTACTCTTCAAGAAAGTTTTTTCCTCAGATATCTGAAAATCTACTCACAGAACTTCTTCCCTACCTCCTTAGACATCTGCTAAAATGGAGTGGAGCTAGTGGGGTTGTGTGACTTATGACAATATTTCTCACACGTAAGTGAATCTTGTCAGAGCTACACCAATAAAGCAGCCCGACCCTCCACCATCAGCCTCTGTTGGCGGCAGCAATTGTTTTCTCAAGGCTAGACATTACAAAGAACTACTGTAGTTGTTGAAGAGTAATTCACTTTTCTATTTACTTCTAGTAAAATATCTTTAACAAAACGACATTCACATCTTTTCAAATCCTTTCCCCGAGGCTTTAGAAATTCTGGACATCTATAGTTGGCCATGCAGGAATATTTTCTCCTCAAAATTCGGTGTGAGCTCTGCTGAGATGAGAAAATCGAAGTAAAATAGGAAAAACATATCTAAACAGCATAGTTTCTTTTAACCAATGTGTTTATCAGAAAAGATGTCATTAGTTGTATGGCTTTTCTGAAAGAGATTATTTTATTATAGGAGTTGATTAGGAAAATAAAAGAAAGTATATGCTAGCAATCTTTTGGATTGAATTACAAATAAAAACTACTCTGATTTTCAAAATACAAGTAAATTTCATAAGACTATGGAACTGCCGTATAAAAATACATTTTAATTTTAGGCCAGGTGAGGTGGCTGACACCTGTAATTCCAGGTGCAGTGGCTGACACTTTGGGAGGCTGAGATGGGAGGATCTCTTGAGCCCAGGATTTTGAGACCAACCTGGGCAACAAAGTGAGACTCTGTCTCTACAAAAAATAAAAAGATTAGCTGGGCATGGTAGCACACCTATATTCTCAGCTACTTGGGAGGCTGAGGCAAAAGGATCACTTGAGCTTAGGAATTTGAGGCTACGGTGAATTATGATTGTGCCACTGTACTCCAGTCTGGGTGACACAGCAAGATCCTGTTTCAATAAACAAACAAGCAAACACACATTTTTGTTTTAAAATGGACAAGAACACAAATCCACTTTTATTTATCTACTTACTTTCCATTAGTTTAAATCCTTGAGGGGCACAGCATTACATGGATCCTGTGTCCAACGGCCTTAGCAGGAAGGTTGCTTCAGAATTTGCAAGAACCATGCCACTGTTTCCATGAGTCCAAGTTACCTTTCTCCAGATGACTCTGGTTTTGTTTGGTTTGCCGCCAGAGTCACTGGGTTGTTCTTTACTTTGTATAAGCACATCTCTTGCCCAAACAGAATTCAGTTTCATCTCAGGCATAAACACCTTCAATTTTGAGAAGAGTTGTGTGCTCCCTTTGGTTCCGGAGGAGACCTCGTTGACAGCCAGCAAAAATGGCTTTGGACCACAGCCTTCCAGACATATGTGCCTCTTAGAAGTCCTGTTCCCAGCAGGCCTCCGCAGACTCCAGGGTGGCGGAAAGAGTAGTAAAATGGACATTTTCAAGGCAAAAGTTTACTTCAGTTGCACGTATCTATATTCACATATATATTTTCAATAAGTTTTTAAACGTGTTGAAACAGAACATGAAGGCCGGGCTTGGTGGCTCAGCCTGTAATCCCAGCACTTTGGGAAGCCGAGGCGGGCGGATTGCCTGAGCCTGCAGGTTCGAGACCTGCCCGGGGAAAGTAGTGAGACCACGTTTCTACAATAAATCAAAAACTAGCTGGGCGTGGTGCAAGCACCTGTGGTTCTGGCTACTTGGAAGGCTGAGGCAGAAGGATCCCCAGAACCCAGCAGGTCAACGCTGGGGTGGCCATGAGTGTGCCACTGTACTCCAGCCTCTCCCAATGCCCTCAAATAGAGCTCTATGGTTGTCCCTGAACACAGAGAGGAAGGATATTTTTCCCAGCTGTTAAAAGCTGTGAGGGGGCTGGGCACAGTAGCTCCTGCCTATAATCCCAGCACTTTGAGAGACTGAGGCAGGAGGAATGCTTGAGCCCAGGAGTTCAAGACCAGCCTGGGCAACATAGCAAGACCTCATCTCTACAAAAAAATTAAAACAGGAAAAAAAGCTGGATGTGGTGGCACACACATGCAGTCCCAGCTACGCAGAAGGCTGAGATGGAAGGATCACCTGAGCCCAGGTGGCTGAGGCTGCAGTGAACCAGGATCATGCCACTGCACACCAGCCTCGGTGACAGAGTGAGACTCTGACTAAAAATAAATAAATAAAAAGCTTGTGAGGGGATGGTATGTGAGACTCTTTAGAAACTAGTCAGAGGGGCCAGGCATGGTGGCTCATGCCTATAATCCCAGCACTTTGGGAGGAAGAGGTAAGAGGAGATTGCCTGAGCCCAGGGGTTCAAGACCAGCCTGGGCAACATGGCGAGACCTCGTCTCTACAATAAATCAAAAAATTAGCAGGACATGGTGGCACAACCTGTAGTTCCAGCTACTTGGAAGGCTGAGGCAGAGGGATTGCCTGGGCCCAGCAGGTCAAGGCTGTGGTGGCCACGGGAGTGAGACTCCAACTCAAAAATATAAAAAATAAAAAAAACTACTCAGAGAATTGGAATCAATGAATTATACATTAGCAGATTTTATAATATCTTTCCACCATGTATTCTATATAAATGTTTGTACAATGAAATATGTCATTTGATAAAGTGCAAATGAAAACAATTAATTTCTGAAAACCACATTCTTTAGGTTGAAGTGGCATTTTGCTTGGCTTGCATTGTCCTACGGAATGATGAGTTACAGAGAGACTTACACGAAAATGAAGGGTTTGAGTATGCCGATGTCCTTAATCTTCTCCACTCTACAGATAAGGTAAAACTTCTACAAAATACTAGAGTTCACTTAGAAGAAAATGATTTTCAGACTACAACCTCAAATTATCATCAGGTCTTTTCCATGGCAATACTTAAATGTATTCTTTAAGAAGAGAAATGTCAAAGATCTCTCTGTAGGTCATTAATTTGTAATGATGTAATAACACAGCTAGTGCCATACTTTTCAGAGTTGTAGCATTTCATCTTTGAAATGCAGTAACTTTAACGCTTAGTGAGTATCCAAAACACAAATCTCTTCTGTCCTGAATCCAAGCTTTAACTGAATTGTATGCCCTTTCAACCTTTAGTTACCCACTTCCTAAGAGTAGTGCTTCTCAAATTACAGAGGGTGCCAAAAAAAGTATACACATTTAAAAAAAGGGGGAAAAAATACTGTGTTAAAATTGAAATACTCAATAAGATGAATACAAGTCACATTTGACTTCTGCAATTACAAGAGGTGCTCAAAGTGGTTGCCATCAGTGTCCAGAAACTTCTGATTATGGAGAACATCTCTTAAAATGTGTATACATGGCCCAGCTCAGTGACTCAACTTGTAATCCCAGCACTTTGGGAGGCCGAGGCGAGTGGATTGCCTGAGCCCGCAGGTTCGAGGCCAATCTGGGCAACTTGGCGAGATCTCATCTCTACAATAAAAAAATCAAAAATTAGCTAGGAGTAGTAGCATGCGCCTGTAGTTCTGCGTACTTGGAAAGCTGAGGCAGAAGGATTGGTGGATCCCAGCAGGTCGACGCTGGGGTGGCCGTGAGTGTGCCACTGCACTCCAGCCTGGGTGACGGAGTGAGACTTCAACTCAAAAAAAAAAAAAAGTGTATACATTTTTTTTTTTAGCACCCTGGTATTTGTGATGAATATCTTTTTTCCTCCAACAATCTGTTCTGGAGGGATAATTTTTTTTAACTTTTAAAATTTTGAAATAATTGTAGGCATTCCAAAATTTTGAAAAAAATAGTATTGTGGTATATCCTTTATCTGGCCTTCCCAAAAGTCAACCAGAACATAATATTGATAAAATACTATTAACTAATCTGCAGACCTTATTTGAATTTTGCCAGTTTTCTCACCAATGTCCGTTTTTTGCTTTGTTTTTATTTTTTAAGATTTATTTATTATTTTTATCAATGTACATTTTTTGTTCCAGAATAATTCAGAATTTCACATTACATCTAGTTGTCATGACTCTTCAGTCTTCAGTTTATGAAGCTCAGTTCTTTGTCTCTCATGATTTTGACATTTTTTATTAGTCCAGGCCAGTTATCTTATAGAATTTTATACAATTTGACTTTGGTATTTTCTTATGATTAAACTGAGGTTATATATTTGGGCAGGAACATCACAAAAGTAATATGGTATTCTTCACTCACTTCCCAGTCTATCATATCACATGATGTTGTTATGTATTATGATGTGTTTTACTGGTAATGCAAACTTTGATTACGTGGTTAAAGTGGTGTCTGCCATATTTCTCCACTCTAAAGGTACCATTTTTTCCTTTGTAATTAACAAGTATCATAAAGTTAGACACTTTGAGACTATGCATTCACACTTTTGCTCATCAATTTTAGCATCCATTGATGCAACAGTAATTAATAAGACATTTGTCTAATGGCAACTAAAAAAATGTTCCTTGTTCCTTCTATGTTTATCAATTGGTATTCAACTATAAGGAAGAATTATTTCTTTTAACTGTTTATTCTCAGTTCCTGGACTGCTACTGGTCCATGGGCCACACTTTCAATAGCACTACCCCAGAGACACAGGAGCCATTGTTTACAGTGCATAAAATTATTGCATTTTCTCTTACCATTTAGGTATTCATTTGTATAATCAGTTTGCATGTTTCTCCTATTTTTAGGATATTTGCTTAAAAGCAGGTTATGCATTGACCCTTTTTGCCTTCAATAATCGCTTCCAACAATACTTAATACTGGAAAGTGGAAAAATAACCATATCCATTTTTGAACCTTTTCTTGAATCAACAATTGAAACTGAGAAGGCAATGGCAGCATTTCAGGTATAAAATCAGAGGTTAATACTTCAAATTAATTATTATGGCATTTTTGTGAAAATTTGAAAGTTTAAAAAATAGAAAAATGTTTACTGATGTACAAAAAGTTAGTGCTTTGCACATCAGTCCCTTCTACTTCATAAAAATTCCATTATCTATGAAGGTTTCTTCATTTATATTGAATTTTACAAGGTGTTTTTGCCTTTTTACCTCATTGAATGTATATAACAACATTGTGAGTTTATCAGGCAGGTAGTAGTATTTTCATTAACCCCGTATTACAAGGAAACTAGATAGAAAAACATGTTAGTGCCCAAGATAGGTTTTCTAACTGCAAATCTCTAGTTGATCACACTGATTCTTCAGCCTGGTAACAACTATATATATTTTATCTGGGTTCTTCTTAGTGTTATTCTCTCTCTCATTTTCTATCTTGTGCCTTTTAGAAGTACTTTCTTTTAAAAATAAATAAACAAATAAGCCAGGCTCGGTGGCTCAGCCTGTAATCCCGTGCCTTTGGGAGGCTGAGGTGAGTGGATTGCCTGAGTCCATGGGCAGCGAGACCTCATCTCTATAATAAATCAAAAAATCAGCTGGGCGTGGTAGCGCATGCCTGTAATTCCGGCTACTTGGAAGGCTGAGGTGGAAGGATGGCTGGAGCCCAGCAGTTCAAGGCTGTGGTGACCGGAAGCAGCCACTGCACTCCAGTCTGGGTGACAGAGTGAGACTCCAACTCAAAAAAAAAAAAAAAAATAGAAGTACTTTCCATGAACCCCATACTTGAAGGATGCAAAAGTTGCAAACATTGTAGGAAGAATAATATGGCTTACTGTGGTCACTGCTACTAACAGAGAGAGACAAGTACCCCAACTCCTCCCTACCACTGCTTGCTTCTGTTGAATCCCATCAGATACCCCCTTTACCATCCTAAGAAGTGCCCCCCAAATCACAAAAGCTTACCTAAAGAAGCTGAGTAAAAAATATTCAACAATTCTCTACTTCTTTTTTGTTTTTAGATTATCATATTAGCTAAAGTCATTATAGATGTGGACCATATTACATTGTCTGCAAGAGGTGTTACTATTTTAGTTGATAGTCTGTATTCAGTTCAGACCTCCACTACTGTCCTGACAGGTAAGAAATAACTAGAAGATCATTGTAGCCACATAAGTCTATTTTGGATTTTTTTCATAATCTGAGCAATATTAAAATAATACAATAACATAATATACCCGGCACCCTGTCACAGTTTGAAGAATGAACTCATGTTTATCAACATGGAACTCTGCAGTAAGTCAACATGGAATAATGGACATCTCCTCTACACCCAGAATAAAAGCAGAGTAATTCTAAACACAGCCCTTTTGCTTTTTAAATTACTTTTTCAAGCCTCTAAGTATTTTTTCCAGAATATAAAATGAGAATTCAACTATGAAATACCACCAATATTTACACACTGACTTATTTATTTATTTATTTTTAGATTAGCAAATATAGTTTATTTAGGAAGTAAATGAGAGAGAGAGCTGATTCATCACCCCAAGATAGAGGAGGGGGCCAAAATCAGGAAACAGGGCAATGACCATAGCTCAAAGAGCACATGGCCACACCAGAGCCTAGTAAGACAATGGCCTACACACTGACTTATAATAGTAGTGGCAGATTTACACTGATGTGCCTCTGTCCAACCGTGCACGTTTCAAGATTTAAGAGTTCTCTGTTACTCCTGTGCAACACAGCAAAGCAAAATGGTCCAGTAGAGTTCTTGACACAATGCTAAGTGTGAAACTGTATCTACTCCAGACTTAACCTCCAACTCATACATAACAGGTGATCAATCAATAATATTTAATTGACTTGATCACTCAGAGTAACATAACACAGTGCCAGAATGACAATCATAAGCTGTGACTACTACCTAAATATATAAATAAGGTATTTGGGGTTTTTTAAACATAATTTTTAGATTAATTTCTAATTGACAATTAATACTTGTACATATTCATGGGGTACATAGTGATGTTTCTACATTTAATGTATAGTAATCAGATCCGGGTAATTAGCATATCCATCATCTCAAACATCATTTCTTTGTGTTGGGAATGTTCACCATCCTCCTTCTAGCTATTTGAAACTCTGTATTAGTAACTATAGTCACTCTACAGTGGTTTAGAACATTAGAACTTATTCCTCCTCCTATCTAGTTATAATTTTGTATCCCTCCCTTCCTCCTTTCCTTTCCAGCCTCTAGTATCCTGTTTTACTTTTTATTTCTATGTCATCAGCTTTTTTTAGCTTCCACATATAAGTGAAAACGTGGTGTTTAACTTTCTGTTCCTAGAATACATCACTTAACATAATTTCCTCCAGTTCCATCCATGTTGCCAGAATTACAGAATTTCTCTTTTTTTTTAATGGCTGAATACTGTTCCTTTGTGTATATATACCACATTCTTTATCCATTCATTTGTTATTGGACACCTAGGTTGATTACATACTTTGGCTATTGTAAACAGCGCTGCAATAGATATGGGGGTGCAGATGTCTCTTTGATATATTGATTTCTTTTCCTTTGGATAAATGCCCAGTAGTGGGATTGCTAGATCATACAGCAGTTCTATTTGTGTGGTTTTTTTTTTTTGGGAACCTCCACACTGTCCTCCATTATGGCTATACTAATTTACATTCCCATCAAAAGTATGTAAAATTTCCCTTTTCTCTGCATCCCCATCAGCATTTGTTATTTTTCTTTTTAAAAAAAAAAAAAATAGATTCAAGGGGTAGGTATATGTGAGGTTTGATTTCGTACCGTGCTCAACATTTAGATGGTAGACTCAGTAGAAGCCCAAACCTCACCACCACACAATATGTACATATATACATATATATGTGTATCTATATATTAATGAAACTGGCCTGGGAATGTTTATTCTACAGCAAGGAAACTTCACTCGCTGCCTAGAATTATATATATATATTTTTTGAGTTGGAGTCTCACTCTGTCACCCAGACTGGAGTTGCAGTGGCCGCTCCTGGCCACTGCATCCTTGACCTGCTGGGGCTCCGGCGATCCTTCCGCCTCAGGCTTCCAAGTTAGAATTGTATTTTTAAGGAGTATATCTGCATGTCAAAGAAGGAAAAATGAAGCAAATGAAAACGTTCTTACAGTTACTAACTAGATAGGAAAAAATACTAAAAAGAAGATATTAAATATATTTTCAGCTAAATAACATTATTAATTCAGTGTCATAATAATGCTGTGACTTTGAAAAACAATTGTAGTGGGTGTAAATTTTACTCCACAAATCTTGGGTGAAAGAAATGCCATATTATATACTAGCTTTCAAATACTAAATTAACCTCCCCAGATTGGGGAGAAGTGAATCTCAAAAAATGCTGGACTTGCTCTGCACTCTACCACCAGATTCATAGGCACGTCCGGGGTATCTCAGACAAAGCCTGACATCCAGGCCTCAGGAATAGTGTAAAATCAGTGATATGCTCAGTGTCTGAGTCAAGAAGTTTCCTGGAAGAGGCTCCAAAGGCACAGAAGTTTTGTACAGATTGGGATTTCTGCTGCAAAAATGTTCTGTTTCCTTATGTGTACCACTTAGCTGCACCACTCCGAGTTCCTGCTTCTACTTCTTCTGCTATGAACCTTAGTTCTCCTTCTTAGTTGTAGATTCTCTGCTCCCTGTATCTGTTTCCCATTTCTAACTTCCTATTTTTAAAAGCATCCTTAAAAACATTTTATTTTTTTTCAGTCAGGCTCTCACTTTGTTGCCCAGGCTGGGGTGCAGTGGCACGATCACAGCCACCATAGCCTCGACCTCCTGGGTTCAGGCTATCCTTCCATCTGAGCCTTCTAAGTAATTGGAACTACAAGCATGTAGCACCACTCTTGGTTAGTTTTTGTTATTTATTATAGAGATGAGATCTTGCCAAGTTGTCCAGACTAGTCTTAAACCCCTGGACTCAGACAGTCCTCTTGCTTCGGCCTCCCAAAGTGCTGGTATTACAGGCGTGAGCCACCATGCCAGGACTTTTAAAAATTTTGTTTTTGAGGGACAAGTCTTGCTAGGCTAGTCTTGAACTCCTGGGCTCAAGCAATCCTCCCACCTCCAAAAAGTGCTGGGATTAAGGTGCCCAGCCCTTTTTAACTTAAAAGAGAGCTGGGCACCTTAATACAATTTTTTATTTAGACAGTCCTCCCCATTCCAAGAGTTCCTTAGCTTATAATGAAGGCTGGAAAAATATACAAGAACAAAAACTCAGCTCACATCTCAATAAATTATCCACACAGGAACATAAAAATACATTTATATCTTTAAACATGAATATGAGTGAAAGTGTTGATAGCTGCACATTTATTTCAATTACTGGGACACTTTATTATTTTCAGTCCCAAAACATTTTTAATGGTAAGAGCTTTGATGATTTTTAAACTTCAATAAGCAATATGTTGCTTGATTTTAAAATACTATTGACCTCAACTCAAAGCCATTTGAACTGCAAAAGGCACATATAAAATTTTCTTATGCTAATTCAATCATTCTGTTAATAGTCATAAAATCTCAAAATAAAATATATTGTGAAATCATGAGGGGAAGAAAACTTCTAATTTTCAAAAAGTTCCACTCCTATACAAATCTATTTAAGTCCTACTAGGTTTTTGTTTTGTTTTGTTTTTTGCGTCAGGTCTCTCTCTCTTTTGCCCAGGCTGGAGTACAGTGACATGTTCACGGCTCACAGCCTTAACCTCCTGGGCTCAGGCAAACCTTCTGCCTCAGCCTCTCAAGCAACTGGAACTACAGGCAAGCACCACTACGCCTGTCTCATTTTTTTGTAAAGACGAGGTCTCACTATGCTGCTCAGGCTCGAACTCCTGGCTTAAATGATTCTCTGGCCTCAGCCTCCCAAAGTGCCAGGATTACAGGTGTAAGCCACCAGGCCCAGCCTAGGACTATTAATTTTACATTTACATATATACATGCTTTTTCTCAGTGTTGCTTCATTAACAGAGATTTCTTGTGACTAAAACCTTTTGTAATGCTATGTAAAATGAATAAAAGCATGTCAGTTTCTATCAATTAAATAACAAATATTTTCCTTGTTTAATTTGCAGGGAATTTAATAGCTAGCCTGGCTCATTCAAGAGCTGGTATTCCAGAAGCATTTGTCACATTAGGAACAATCCAGCGACTCTGCTACCATTTGTACTCAAGAAGTGAAGAGGTACAAAGAACACAAATTCCAAAATTAATTATGCTAAACATATAATTTGCCTCTCACTCTGTGGGCTGATTCCCCTGATTGTTATATAATATAGTTCATGTTACTAACTCAAAACTAGATGATTTTTCTAATACTAATTAGTTATATCTACCACCCACAATTTTGATGCCTATAAAAAGTATACATTTGTTTTAATTCTGACAGTCAAATTAGGATTTTAATTACAAGAGCAGCATAAAACAACTGTAGTTAAAGATTTTAAAAGAAGCATCTGTTCAAATGAGTCCCTGAATTAAAGCAACACACAAAACCCTTTGAAATAACAGTCATCTCAATGCTGGAATTAGGATTCAATCTACAAATAACTATATGGATGATACAGAAATGTATAATTAGTGTTTATAATAGAGTATTTCACAAAAACCAGTGACTCTCTGATCTGTCATTTCTAATCAGGAGGAATGAAAGTAGAAGACGTAGGACAGCTGTCCTTATGGCAGCGGGGTTGGAAGTGAGGGTGTGTGAAAGGCCGGGCTGGCCTTGGCAGTGATTTGTCTTTGAGTGTTTCCCTACTTTTTTCCCCAAAGGTCTAGAGTTTCTTCATGTTTAGAGTGTATCAGAGGGCCTGGAGGGCCTGTTAGATTGCTGGTCACCATTCCTGGAGTTTCTGATCCAATATATCTGAGGAGGGCCCTAGAATTTACATTTCTAATATGCTCCCAGCAACTAAACTGCAGGTCCAAGGCTCAAGGTGTAAAGGTGTGAGGTTTTGTCTGGACATAGACCATAGACTGTTTTACCTTATACCTGGCTTCTTTCTGCCCCTGCTTCAGGGAGTGGTCTCGGTCAAGGTCATCTCTGAAGGGTATGCATATTCCTAGTAACAGGATGCAGGCAACCAAAGCTGAAAACAGTGTAGTTGTAAATACCATATAGGAATTTGACTAATTAACTTGCTTGTCTATAAAACTGCTTGTTATACTGCCCTGAGGTGCAGATTCTTCACTGACCTGCTGCCATCAGTGCCTCTATAAGTTTATTTTTTTTTAGATTGGAAAATATGGTTTATTTAGAAAGCAGGTTAGAGAAAGAAAAAAGGGGATCCACCTCCCCCATATAGGGGAGGGGCCAGAGCTCACCAAAGATCATGGCCCACAAGTTATGGCCCATGAGACATTTTATTAAAACAATGTCTTTCGCCGGGCTCGGTGGCTCAGCCTGTAATCCCGCGCCTTTGGGAGGCTGAGGTGAGTGGATTGTCTGAACCTGCGGGTTCGAGACCCGCCTGGGCAGCAAGACCTCATCTCTGCAATAAATCAAAAAAAATCAGCCGGGCGTGGTAGCGCATGCCTGTAATTCCGGCTACTTGGAAAGCTGAGGCAGAAGGATC